AGATGGCTCGAATACCTATTGACGAATCTATTACAAATGAGCCTCTTGGCTTTTATCATGTGAAGTTTCATATCAATCATCACTCTATTATTTACGTGATGTGCAGAATAAGGCTAACGGCCATGCCTCGGTTGCATCAAGCAATCGGGGCCCCTGGTTGCTATCATGATGATCCATCTCCGTATGCCCATGTGTCGACCGTACCTGAACCAGCGAGACATTGAAGTCGATGATCCGAGCAAGGCAGCTAATACACTCAGTACAACAAAGGATAGGGTAGGTATTCGTGACAGTAAGACAAAGGAGGGGGTAGGTATTCGTGACAACAATCTCGGCAACTCCGACATAATGCCACAGATTATATTCATCGTTCTTTGTATCAGCTCACTCGTCAGTCTCGTGATCTGTTGACGTTGTCAGAATATGGGGTAGCGGACGGATCCGGAGTAATCTTAAGTATCAATGGATGGCATCAAAGATTAAGGGACAACTCAATAGCAATCGAGTGGGTCGAACCTTTGTTCCTGGTTACGACCATGGGAGCCAAATACCGGCTTATGTCCTTGATGTTGTGCATGATCCCCAAACCGTAAAACAGATTACCACTGTCCAATTCATGACAATACACCATGGCATCTAACAGGGAGCGTAAGGCAAAACGCCAACGCATGTTAGACTATCACGATTTCTATATTAAAGGCAAGGTGAATCAATGGGATGAAGCTCAGCGCAGACCCATCTTTATAAGATTGCAAACCCCCAAACGTGGCGGGGGTGTGGGGAAATGGCCGGGGGTCAATCGGAGGGACTTTGGCCTCGATCAGCCACAGGCAGCAAACAATCCGGGGCCGGGAGCAAACAATCCGGTACCGGTGGCAAATCCAGCAGTTCCGGCACTGCCACCAATCCCGGCGGCTCCGGCACAGGCGGCAAATCCGGCAGCGCCGGCACCAGCGGCGAACAACACTCGAAGTCACCCCATTGGACATGACTACGGTCTACTCCCCGCCGACACTTTCGTGCAGAACAACCAATTTGATCCCCGGGGCGCCGCCCAAGACCTAGAAAATATACTCCGGCAATTCAATACTCTCCAGCAGGCTACCCAGCGGCTCGAGCTTGTCAAGATTCTTGACTGGGTTAGCCAGGGTCTAGCCGCTCTCGTCAGGTGGGAGGACGCAGCTGGTACCACAAAATACTATGTTGCAAAAGCCCCCCTGGATCTCGACTGGGGCGGTCTTGAGGAGGAGCGTGACAATCAAGAGGTACGTCCCGTCTTGGCCCAGGGTGGTCTGTAGCAAGTGAGCTCCGTGTTTTCATACCCGAGCAAAAAATTGGAATGATGGAATATATGCTCATGTTACGCGCTCCGAGCAGAGATTCAGAGGCTCCCAGCATATCGTGCAAGTCATTAAGCTTCCACCTCCTCCACCTGAGCCTGAAGTGTCAGGGGGTTCCGCACAGCTCAGGGACCTCAAACTCATCAGATAAGGAACCTCCGTTTCTCTTCTTACTCGAATACTTGCCGGCGGGTACATTACAGAAAGTGTGCAGGACCGCGGCACTAAGGAACCCGCGGGAACCCCTGAGCAATCAGACGCTCTGGGCCTTCTTTGATTGCTGTAAGCCCCTGTCTAGTCCCTGTGTGTGCTGGAATCTAGTACTGAGGTATGAGCTTGCAGTGTTCGAGATGGCGGTCGCGCTGCGTTTTCCGTCCAGATATTGGCCAGATTATGTGTCAGATACCCAAACGGGAGAGAATTCCCTCCGACAATGAATTCCGGCGGTTCAAGTTTGGCGTCCAAGGAGTCGATGATAGGCCTACGGACTATGTCCATTTCGGCATCGAACCGAGTAACAGTAAGCCCGCAACAGGAACCCAACGCTGTCCTACTTAGGTTGGTGGCCCACTATGTGCTGTGTGCTAACTCCTGCCCCCCTGGGGATTGACTTCAAATCTAGTACTTTTGGGCCCTGGCGAATTCGACAACATGCCGCTGCAATCCGCACAAATTGACCCCTATCACCAACATTCACCAGTCTTGAAGGTCCGTTCTGTACTTGTACCCAAGCTAGGAGATCGACATGAAAACATCACAACAGCCAACCCCTAGCTCAACTCCTCTTCTATCAATGTCTGGTCTAGCTCAATGACTTCGGACTCATACAAGACATCAATGACTTGATGGATGCGGCCAACTGGAAGTAGGTTCACCCTCGGCTTGTTCAGGTAGTATCATACCTACCATCTCGACTAACACGATTCCAGAATCAAGTCATGGGAGCTGAGAGACTATGGGAAACGCTTCTGGTATACCCCCATAAGGCATCCTAGCGGGTTAACCGGGCTGATTTCAAGTTGATGCCGACTAACCGCTCGTGTTGGTGCAGGAACAATTCACCACTGAATGGAACTATGTCGTTTCCGTTCCGCCTCTCTCTGCCCAAGGTTGCTGGATGGTACTCATGGCCAACAAATATGTTTCAGCTCGGGCAAGTGATGTGGTGTTTGATCACCCAATGCTGACCACCCGTTGGGCCTATCCCGGAAAGGGCCGAGGCGCTATTCCAACCTCCTTATCATCCTTTGCCCGGCGAGGACCCTGACCAAGATGACAAGCCCACAAAAAGGAAGAGAGTCTTACCACCAAAACAGGGAGCAGGAGCGGCCGGAGGAGCGGCCGCAGCACCGGCCCAACCTCTGGCTCAGCCTCCGGTCCAAGCTCCGGTCCAAGCTGCAGTCCAAGCTCCGGTCCAGGCTCCGGCCCAGGCTCCAACCCAAGCTTCAGCTGCACAACCTGCTAGCGGAGTCAAAAGGGCGCCACCGGCATCTAACGATGCATCAGGCAGAGCAGCAAAGTCAAAAGAGACAGGTGCGCAGGGAAGGCCTCGTAAAAAAAAAAACCCGAGGGACCAAAAAGGAGCTATGGGATGTACGTCTGTCGAAATGACAACGCGAACCCTCTCTTTCAGAGCGTCGATCGGGATCTCAGAACCCTGGTTGCACGGTGTATGATGGACGAGCCGGCGGACCGCCCCGGTATGAACACGATCCGCCGTGTCATCGACCATAAGTTGGGCCAGCGATATGGCAACAATGACCCGGATACCCTGAGGCTGAATAATGACCTGTCCACCTTGTATTCAAACCCTCCTAATCCTCCGGTACGAAGACGGCACATCCAACAGTTACAAAAGGTGTGTCTGACACCTAGCCCCCAGCCAATTCAAGTTCCACTCGCAAATCAGTCGTCTTGGGGCAGTGTAACTAACACCAACTCTCGTGATCTGCAAAGTGGTTGCGTAGGGACCCTGGCATTGACCCCTCTCAGAGCCCAAGTGACACCGAGGATGAGGCGGACGGAGGTCAAACACAGCAGCAACAAGCACAGCAGCAACAAGCACAGCAGCAACAAGCACAGCAGCAACAAGCACAGCAGCAAC